TATATATATATATATGTATATATATTTAAAAAATCATCCTATAAAACAGAGATGCACAAGTCCCAGGAGCTCCGTATGCTCCTTAAAAATGACAGCTGCCTCCTAACTTTTGAATTTTTCTCTAGTCTAGTCTTAGAGCTGCAAAAGTATCAGTACATGTACTTGTACGGTACTTGGTATCTGAACATCCCTAACTATCTTCATTATACCATGGAATTAAATCTCATTGTCATTAAAGCATATCTAAACCCGAAAGCAAAACATGGAATATATTACTGCTTACCATTTCCTAGATGTGGTGTCTGCATTATTTTTTTTGTAAGCTTTTCTAAGACACTAAGGCTGGGCACACACCTTACAACCATCGCAAGACTTTTGTCTTGCGATGGTTGTAAGGTAATTAAAAAAACGTACGATCTGCCTATCTTGCATAGGCAGATGGTACTTGCGATGATCGCAAGCCACGCCCCCTGAGGGGCGGGCTTCCAATGACCGCAATGCCGAACGGGCAGTGTGCGCTTGCGCACACCGGCATCTTTTTTTTTCAGCTTCCTTTAATAGACCAAGCTGCCCAGCAAAATTGACAGATCGAGGGTTTAGACAAACCATTTAACACTAATGGGGTTGCTTATAATAGGCAGCTTTATTTCATTTATGTAAAACCTTTATCCCAAAGGGAAATGAAACTGTTCCTGTAACTGCTTAAAAAGTGTTATCGGGAGTTCGAATTTAATTTGTTAGCCAAGTCCATCTAAATCTGCTAGTGCATATAACACTACCCTCTCAGCAGTTTGACAATGCTACAAGTGGCTCTGTTGCATAAAGGGTAGTATAATGAATATGCAATCAACTTTGCCAAAATCCTTGATATGTATATAGTTGGATTGAAGAGGATTTTTCTCCTCAGCAGAAGTGGTGTTGCACTCACCCCTTCTTTAATGCACATCATTTGTTTTGCCGTGTGTTATTAAATAGAGACACTGAATTTGTTGGGACAGTAAAGCTGATCAAATGGTTCAATAATATATTTTCTCTTCAGTTTGTGGAAGATTTCTTATGGATAAGCGTAAAGAACAGGACCGACTGTGGGAAGTTGATCCTCCTGGGGACTGGAGCCAAAGAATTAATATATGGTTACGGATTCAGCTTGGAGAGACCCCAGTGGTAAGTTATGGTTACTTTTTTAATAAAATGTACAGATGCAAACTTTTTATTCACTACATGCTAGTGAGAGCACTGACACATCAAGGTCAACTATAGCTGATTATTCAGTGCACAAAACTGCTGCATCCATGGTGTGGGTGACAGGAACACTTCACCATTTGATTTAGTTTTAACGTAGTAACACTGGTCCCACTAATGTCCCTCAGGGTTAAAGAGTAGCTTTACAATAGGGGAAGCATGCCATCTACACTTCAGTAAGTAAAAGATAATTTTATGTAGATCACCAAGTGCCCAATTTAAACAACTAGTTTTAATATTGTCAGCTATCTACTGTTTAAAACCGAAATAAACTTAGCGAATAATCTAGTTTTCGAGGGGCAAAGTTTCACATTTCTGCTCTCCACCCCAAAGGTCTTGTAGTGAGCAGCTCCTTTTTGGTCATTACCCATTGTCAGGCAGATTTTACACAGTAGCCTTTGTGGCTATAAAAATGGGAGTAGATGTTGGAGAATGATCATGTTTCTAAACATTGTATGTTCCAACTAGGTAGCTTAAAAAACTTTAAATGTTGGGTGGTAGCTACACATAAAACCTCTTTTAGTCAAATTGTTTGAGGAGGGACATCACTGAGCTGTCATACTGTTCATGGTCACCAGATCATTTTCTTTTTTACCCTCATGATATGTGTGTTGTAGAAGATGGAGCATCCTACAGAGGAAGTGGTAGAAGCCACAAAAAAGGAACCTGTCTTGCTGAGAGGGCAGACTAGGCGTCTCACAGGCAAAGACAGTATTGACTGCCTAACAGAACCACTGTATCACAAGAGGAAGATCCAGACTAGAAGGAAATGGTGGAAGAATGGAGCGAAGATGAGACGGAGAAAACTTTTGATAAACATTGCAGAGACTAAGTGCATGAAAATGTGCTGAGATACAAGATCGTTTTTCCTAAAACATACATTAATAATGGTGTACACCTGCTGCACATCTCAGTT